TTTTCAAATAATCCAAAGGAATGTCTTGTCCAGGGAGACCAGCCTCTCATGAGAACATATAGTATTTAATTTTTCATTACATTTGCAAATGACAGGAGGCCAATCAGCCCAAGGACCTTGTTTTGTAGACAGCAGCTGATTGGTCCTAAGACCTCATCCATCCGTTCCTTAAAAGAAATCATGGCATCACCTCCAGCTACTTGGCTGAGCCCCACAACCCTCTACATAAAGAAGTGACTCCCTTTCTCAATTTAAATGCACTTCACTCTAGAAAACACCACCGTCTACTACTATTTTTAAGGAAATAAAAACATTAAACTGTTGCTAAGTTGTCTCTTAAATCGAAGAACCATTTTTTAAATCATGTCATGCTGTCATGCCATGATTTTCAGACAATAGCAACGTTCAGAGTGAAAGGCTGTCTCATTTTCCATAATCACTTTATATTCTATGAACAGTAGCTAAGAGCTAAGTGTTTTTTTCCCATGTTCATGTGGGTTTCCTCTGGGTGCTCCAGTTTCCACAGTCCAAGGACAAACATGTAGATTAATTGGCTTCAGGAAAAATTGGCCTTAGATGAGTTTGCAAATAAATGTGTGTGCCTTGCGCCTATTACCTGTCGAAATAAGCTCTGGATCCCTGCAACTCTAAGTTCTCATTTTAAATGCACTTTAGTTTCCCTGGCTCATGTTTACTGTTGATATCCGTTACAAGACAGAAGAAGTTCAGCGTACACATGAAACCTGTTTTATTTCACCATATCATTATTTCGTTTTTGTTTGAATCATCCTCGGTCCATGTAGGGCTGTCCTCTGTCCTCTGTCCTCTGTCATCCTCCTGTTCAAATAGTGTGAATGAAAACATCGCTGGAGGGATACCCTGCCCATCCTACCCATCTTCTGAAAACATCACAGCAAAATCACTGCTCTAAAAATAAGCAAACACTGAGATAGCTGGCTATGACACTGACTGACACTGAGATTACATCTGAATGCCATCAGTATGAAAAAAGTATGAAACTCCTTTTTTGTGCAACTCCCATACATTCATATAGCAGTGATTTCAGTCCTATGCTGGACTGGACTGTGTGTGTGCCCTGTGTTGGACTGGACAGTGTGTGTGCCCTGTGCTGGACTGGACTGTGTGTGTGCCTTGTGCTGGATTGGACTGTGTGTGTCCCCTGTGTTGCACAGAACTGTGTATGTGTGCTGTGCTGGACTGGACTGTGTGTGTGCCCTGTGTTGCACAGAACTGTGTATGTGTGCTGTGCTGGACTGGACTGTGTGTGTGCCCTGTGTTGCACAGAACTGTGTATGTGTGCTGTGCTGGACTGGACTGTGTGTGTGCTCTGTGTTGGACTGGACAGTGTGAGTGCGGTGTGCTGGACTGGACCATTCGTGCTCTGTGCTGGACTGGACAGCGTGTACGTTGTGCTGGACTGGACAGAATCTTGTGAGGTTGTTTATATCTTTCCAACTACATAAATCACTGAGGAACGATCTTTACCTGTTATAACATGTATGAAGTGATATAATTTCTAAATTGTATAGAAATGCTTTATATTCAATTTTTTTTTGCTCATTGCATTAAAATACAGTAGTATGTAATCCTCTGTAACAAAATCCTTTGTATCCCATTAAAAACCTTGAAAGAGATGGGCCTGCTGGATTTTGCATTTTGCCATTTTAAATGATCTAATATTTTCATTCTTCTCTATATCCACATCCTTCTACATACCTTAATCTTAAAAAATCAAATGTGACAATCTGAAGTGTAATTAATGTCACGTAGCTGATAAAGCTTTGAGTATTGTAACACTTCGGGGTTCACATGGGCGCCCTCACTGCTGCCGCATCAGGTCAGCCCCCCACCATCAGGGACTTGAACCCAAGCCTCCAGTGTCACTCAACAGGGACCCAGCCTCTTGAGCCAAAGGGAGATCTCCCTTCAGCCCAGCGGCTGCAGTCCCTGCTATACACAGGGAAGGGTGGTGACGTCACTGCGCTGGTAAGCCGGCTCTCACAAGCAATGGAGGCCGTATGCGTTACAATATAAACTATTTGTTGTTATCTAATGTTGGATGTTATCTTTTGTTGGATGGTAGCTTCTTGCTGAAAAAGGCCAGCAGCAGTGTGGAAGCTCAGTCATGCGTTGTGTATTTCTGTGCGTACAGTAAAAGGTGTAGTGAGCTGAAACTGCTCAAACTTCATCTTTGGCAGAGATAATAGATCGTTGTTTCCCTGGGGACAGGGATTTGAATCCTGAACACCAACTCTTGTGATTTGCATTAGCATTCCTGCATCTTGGCATCTGTTCTGTGAGCACATGGCTGGGATATTTTTATGCAGTCCAGTGAAGATGCTTCTCTGCACCAACTGGCCATATACTGTCTCGAAGAGAGAACTGCTAAACATATTTTAATGCGGAAAAAATCCAAGAAGTTCACTATGTGCTTCATTTCAAAATATTCTAAAGCCTTTAATTTATAATTCAGTCATCTGCTCCTATTTAACTTTATTGTCATTGATATACAACTACTCACAAGAGAACGCAACTTTAGGAGTACATACATAGGACAAGAGGTATTTTTAACAATTGGAAACAGGATCTTTCCCTCTCCGGAATATTTTTTGACACTTATTAAAGAATCACAAGGAACTAAATGTTTAGTAAAAATAATTATATTTATATAACATGAGGATCATATTGAGTGATGACATCTGAGCTTTAATGTTGTAAATATGAATGAATACAAACAGGAGATCTCTTATAAATCAAATCCAAATCTTGGTCAATTTCATTTTCATATTTCCATATAATCTATTTCTTTTTCATTGGTGTGTCATACTTACATTTAGGATATATTTACTGATGATTCAATCTGTTAAAAGAACTATTTATCTTATCATGTGAAGCACTTGTTTTATTTCATTTTACGTCTTTCAGACACATTACGTATTTTTAACTTATGCTTATTCAAAAACATTTCAGATGTTTCAGCAGCTAACATCTTATTTTCCTAGAACACCTAGCACACTTCGTGCTACTGTATGTGCCTTTTGGTTTCTAGAGGTCCAACTAGAGAAACACAAGCAAAGATTATCATCAGAAAACCTTCAATGCCAGTTAAGAGCAGAAGGACATTAAAAATATTACAAATGGACATGTGGTCCAATAATGTTTAGTTATCCTAGTTTTATGTGCGCAAGAATCCCATAATCCCAATAAAAAATAAAAGAAAGAAATAAAAACAAACAATAACATACAAGATCATACAGATAGGTCAATTGGACATAGGCCCTAGTAAACACTTGAGTTTTAGGTTTGGATTTGAAGAACTTCAATAACACTGGAGCAGCCACCGAAAAAACTAAGAAATTCAGTGCTGGGTATAGTGAGCAAAAGACCAGCCTCAACTGAATAGAGCCTACGAGAGGGAGTGTAAACATGGAGGAGCTGAGAAATGTATGAAGAAGCCAGATTATTTAAACCTTTAAAGTCAGTAACAAGCTCTTATATTGAATATGTAATTGTATAGGCAACTGTAGAGAATGATATGCTGCCAACAGAAGAGTGTTAGGGGTACTTTCTAGCAAATTATCAGGTAATGTACTTTATAATTGTAAAACTCTACATTTTAACCACATACCCTTTGTAAACCTATTTTCTTCCATCACACTACCTAAGAAAGAGAAGAGATAAACCAAACTCAAAGATATTTCTCACACAGATTGCTAGTTCCAGTTCAGTACCAACAAAAGGTATTTGAAACATACTGTACTTTCCTGAATATTATACTTAATCTGTTGCATTTTGGGGGTATTTGTGCCAACCTGAAAAGCATCTAAATCGTCTTGTATTTCTTTTGCCTTACGGAACCACTGTTGTGTCTCCATTGAGCTTTGTGAGGTTTGCAAAACTCACAAGTTTACTGATTGTAGCAGTCTCTTGCTAGGAATTTAGACGAATAGCGGTTGTATCATAGCGGATTCCAGTGACAACGATGCACAATAGTAAATTAACGACACCGAGCGCTTAATGAATTGCCTTCAGTAAGCAGCCAGACGCACTACATGTGCGTGAGTTGCGGCAACAACTTGAAGCAGGAACTCGCCTGTTGGTGTTGAGCGCACAGGCACTGGGATTAAAAATTGGTGCCAAGACAGAAAAGGAGAGGGCGGGGGACTGGCGCTTAAAAAAGCACGTGCCATCACTGTCCTTGGTTTTACATTTTAGGAATCAACGGCTGCGGTTCAATTATCCTAACCATATGCTCAAGTGACATCATTGTCTCTGCTTCTGTCTGACCAGCTGTTCAACCCCGGAACCTCCCTCTGTGAACCCGTAGGCTGCGAATGGGGACACACGAAGTCGGACGTAGGTGGGGCATCTCGTACTTGTGGTGCAAAAAAAAGCACCTGCATCATTCTTGCACTTTTTATGAAGCTGTCTGAAGTATGCAAAAAAAGAATACCCCCTGTCAATATGTATACACGACAAATGCGCGAGTTGAAAAAAAATATTTATAATGCAAAAGAAGAAATCAATATGTTTGCGTTTCATTTGCTTATGTACGTCCGGTAGGAAAATTCGGTTCTCTGGCAACACAGGTATAACTTGGCGGCGCTGCCCCCAAATCCGTAACCGCCAATCTAGCTGTAAGCCCTGGGCTGGGCCGGTCTATCCGTCTCCGGTTGGGGAGGGTGTTGATAATATCGGAGTTATCTGCAGAGGTGACGTCACCAGCCGCCCGAGAGCAGCAGACAGAAGGAGAGAGAGAGAGATCTGCCGGTGTCATGGCTGCCATATTGGAGAGGAAGTGATTCCTATCCGCCTAAGAAAAGGGGGCATTTATTACCGAGAAACCGACTGGGGGCATCGTTTCTTCGGCACTCGGTGAAGGGTTTAGGGGTGCGGCCTCCGGTTTTCTACCCTTGGGCCGTCCCGGCAGCAGGATCTGATTGTTATTATTGTCAGTTTCATCCCAGAAAGATTGGAAGATGGCGGACCCGGCGGAGTGCACCATAAAAGTGATGTGCCGATTCAGGCCGCTGAACAATTCCGAAGTGATGAGAGGGGACAAATACATCCCCAAATTTCAAGGGGAGGACAACGTTGTTATTGGGGTAAGTTGGGAGCAGAAAAGAATTTTCTTTTCGGCGATCAGGGTGGCATCGGAAGAGGCTGATGTTTTAATACAATGAGGGTTAAAAGCCAAGGGCAGTGTCTGTGCTGTCCACCCACAGATTGACACATGAGCAGCAGCCGACTGAAACTTTAGCTAATAACTGCGGCTTCATTAAAATGCATCCTTACTTTTGAATTGTTTTATGCATGGAGACCCTTACCGCTTCGTTTAATCGTCTTTTGAATTCTGATTTTTTTTTCCTTGGCCACTGTTGAAGTGCGCTAGACGCCGGTTATTTGAAAATAAACGATGTAGCGGCCCGATCTCCTAAAGGGAATCGTGCTTCGTTGTGTTTTGAGGCCGGTGGCAGATCGCTGGAAGGGCTGGGTCAGACAATAAGACTGGCCTAATCGTGCCCTTTTCCACGGCGCACACAACAAAGCCAGAAGTGTTGTCCACAGCTGTAACTACGTGGCCGGCACTAGGCATTTCCCAAACCTAAAAGCGTGAACTGCTTTTGCATCGTCTCTATTGGTGTATTCGGCGTCAAAGTGTTCTGTTTCGGCAATGCGGGGGTTTCAGTTGGTTGAAGCTGCTGGACCCGGAGGCCTTCACTCGCGTCGGCCCCTCTCTGGCGTCTCAAAACAAAGCGGTATCTTTTGGGGGAGCGAGAGCAGGGATTTGACAAGCGGCGCTCAGTTGTTATTGCCTGCGTGGATATCCTACGTCTGGGTCTTGGACACAATAGGTGTGCCCGATGGATTAGGCCAATTCGGTCGGGGGGCCCTTTTATTAGGGCATAAAATTCTCCCCCACAGCCAAATAATACAGTGCTCGGGGGGGTTAGAAAATGTTTTCCAGACTGTTCGTCTCCGTGGATGCACGAATGAATGAAGTCACCAGTGAACGCATCAGCTGCTGCTTGGCTAACGCCTAAATTCCACGTTGCCCTTTGCACTCATCGCACCACATCTCCCAAGTGAACTCGGAAAAAGTACTGGGGAGGGAGTCTTTGAACCCGTAAGACTGGAGAGAGTGCGGTCGCGCTGTCTCTTGACAGGTGTCAGGCTGGCGTGCGCCGGCCGAGGGGCTCCTGTTTGTTGTGCGGTGGGTGAGGGGGCCCGTGAAAGACAATGGCGCCCCACTGAGCTACCGCAGCTGAGAGCACGAATTCGCCAACGACCGCTACAGATTTGAAGCACAGTCATTCTTGAAGTGCAGGCGCCGATCTTGAAATCGAAAGTTTTTTTTTTTTTTGCTGCTTTGTGTGCAGAAAAACTTGGCCCCTGCGAAGCGTGTCCTGAAATAGCTGCCCTGCTCAAAGATTTTTCAGTATCCCGGCATCAGCGGAATTCACATGGGGTGATTTTTTTGTCTTCCCAATTACATGGTGCTGACGATCACTGATAACAAGTCCAGCCTTTTGAGGCAACATTCATCAAAATACCAGTTCCTCAGATGTCACGGAGTGATATTCGTGCCTGCTTGCAATTTGTCTTTTTGAAAAACATTCTGCAAAGGCACACATAGGACATGGGCAGTACAGATTGGTCAAATGTAACTGCTGAAGTTATTCATAATATCCATTTGTAAAATACAATAGAGCTCTTTCCACATTCCTCATTGTCCTCTCTGATTTAGCTTTATCACTCTGTGGGACTTCACAGGGATAGAATTGTGGTTTCTGTAGTACACACTGCCTAATGAGTCTTTTGTCAGGACGTGTAACTCAGTATCATGAATATGCACTAGGAAATGTATTTGATCTGTCTTGTGACCTTTTGTAAAGAGGCTCTTGCTCAAAGAGTCAATATTTGTTTGGAAGAAAATAAAGCTTATGAAGAACTACAAGTAGGCACATACAGTATAGAGCTAGACAGTCGTTTTAAGTCAGGGGAACCATCCTGACCTTTGTAGAAAAGCAGCCAGCTTGCTACCCCGAAGGATCTTGTTAATTGAGAATGCATACATGCTCATAATATGGTCTGTGTATTATTTGCTGGCTACTGGATATGCATCTTATTTCTCTGAAAAATTTGGAATTTGGGTTGAAAAGAGCAAGAACGTTTTCCCTTCTCCAGGCTAAAATTCTGTTCTATAACAAGGTTGATTATTGTGGAAGAAAATACACTTCAGCTTTTAAAGCTATCCGTTTTACTGTATGGGGGGATTAAGAATGTTAGAAGGGTCATATAAAACAGGAAGGAAAGTCCACTGGGCCTGTCATTCACTTAGTAGTAGTAGCTGATCCCAAAATTGTGCATCTGCTTGAAGTATACTTGCTTAAGCAGTGGAGTGCATGGTGGTATTTTGGTTAGCAATGCTGCCTCG